TATATGTATTAACTCCGTCCGTGATTCATATGACGATTGTGTGGAGGTTCTGGAAAACATCGTAAAACTAGTGGATAATTGGAATTATCCATGATTTTACTATATTCCCAGAAAAATCTGCCATTATAATATTTACAAGATATAGGATACGTACGCCTGATAGTCTAAACCTGTCAGGATATGATGTACTGGTTGTCAGTGGGTACAAATATCTTGGTATAGTCCTAGACCCCAAGTTACTATGATCCAAACATGTCCAATATGTAAAAAAAGATGTGAGAAAGGCATTAATCTCCTTAATTGTGTCACTTGCCGGAAATGGGGTGCTGATCGCAAAGTTGCATTGATGTTTTAAAGCAGCGGTTCTCAACCTTTTAGTACTGGCGCCCCCTTTAAACACTGAATATAGATCACGCCTCCCCTCCAGTCAATAATTGGTTGGTTCAAGTTAGAACAGTGAAATTGTGAAACTGACGATGCTAACTCTATGTTAGCAGGGATGCAAAATAAAAATCCAAATATATTTAAATACAAAAGTTTATTTGATGTCTCATTAAACATTGTTTATTTATTTGAGAAAAAGAATAATCAAAAAATCAAATACGCATATAAAGTTGAAAGTCTTATATAAGTGTTTTTGCACTTTCAATGAGAGGGTTGGCATTGACTGTTCTTGACAAGTTTTTCGATATCCGATTGAGACTGTGTCAGAGCACACTTCAAGTCACTTTCAACGTCCAGTCTTGAACGCTATTTTGATTTTATATAAACTAATAACTTAGCAGATACTAAAGCCACTTCTGGATAAACAGGAAAGCAGGTTGACCAGAATTCTTAGAAGGCCATGTTTGCAAAGTCTGCTTTTGCTTGTGCATTTTAGGTCAATTATACAAAAATACAATTTTACATTCTGTACCAACTTATGCTATAAACTATACCTCATTATATTCCTATCAGTACCACATTTTATCTTATGACCATTGTAACATTGGTTCAAAAATAAAATCTTTTCTTTTATTTATCAAATATTAACATTCTCTTCTTATTAATAATCTTAATAGAATATCACACTTTTTCAACTAATTCAAAATATTTCTATTGCAGTAAATACAATTCAACTTTCCCTCAGACATATACAACCAACTTTACATCTTGCCTGTAGTTTCTTCTACCTTTACTTTCTTCACATAAGATAATTAATAATTATAAATCCCTCATCATTGGTCTATAAGAAAAATCTCTTTTGTTAACAGTTTATTATTCAACCGACCATCTTATTTTCAATTCACTTCCTTCTTTTTATTATCACAAAGTGTATTCTTTGTGTATTCTCAAAAATAATAACTATTGTCTTCAATTTTAATAAACTAGTTATATAAAATTATAATATTAGTCCTATATACTATCATATATATATATATATTATATATATATATATATATATATATACTATCAATATAAACACGATAAAAATAAGAAAGTTACAGTATCTGGGACACTTAATGAGGGGACAGCGATATGAACTGCTAAGGCTGATAATACAGGGAAAGATAAGAGGAGGAAGGAGGATAGGAAGAAGGGGGAGTGTCATGGTTAAAGAATTTATTAAGAACTTATTAAGAAGACTGGTTTAAATGCAGTTCTATAGAACACTTTAGAGCAGCAGTAGATAGAGTAAATGATATCACACCTTCGACGGCACTTAAAGAAGAAGATACTATCAATATTGTCCCGAATGTTGTTATCGTTACAACAGTAAATTATTACTTCCAACATCTCAAATTTAATTGGCAAACTCCCGTACTCACCTGTACCGTAAAAATTCTACTTTGAGTAAAGACGTATGGTTCCCGGTTAGATATCCATTCGTGATCAGTGGTGCGATTTTTATATTTTATTGAATGATTCTTTATTATGTCCTTGATACATGGGATGTCCAGATTATTGTGAAGTGTTTGGTTAGATATATACCATGGAGATTTACATACCATGCGAAGTATTTTGGATTGGAATGCTTGAAGTATCTTCGTATTTGAAGGTTTACAGTATCCTCATAGGTTTATTACATATGCCCAAATTGGAATAAGTATAGCTTTGTTTAGAAGCAGTTTATTTTAGAGACACAACTGAGACCTTCTGTTAAGTAACCAGTTCATATTTTTTAGTTTAAGATTTAGTTGTTTCCGTTTAGTTTTAATGTGCGTTTTCCATATGAGTTTTTCATCCAGAACCAAACCCAACTATTTGACAACTGGTTTTATGGGAATGGCGGTATTATTAATAGAAAATTGTGGACTGTGAAACTAAATGTAGATTTTCTTCTTATTCTTCTAGTTCCATAACCGTTATCGATCGTTGGATATCATGTTGGCTACCATATTCGCTATCGTGACTTTATTGACAGCAGCTCTACATAACGATGTAGTTGATTTTCCATACCATTGCCTTAGATTTTTCAGCCATGATGTTCTTCGTCTACCAGGACCACGATTACCTTGGATCTTTGCCTGAATGATTAGATGTAAACGATCATATTCTTCAGGGTGTCTCATAATGTGACCGAAGTATTCCAGCTTGCGTTTCTTTATTATATTGACCAGTTGTGTTGTTTGGCTCAGCCGTCTAAGGACCTCCTCATTTCTAACTCTGTCGACCCAGCTTATTTTCAGTAGTCGTCTGTATACCCACATCTCAAAGGCTGTCAAGCGTTTAAGCATAGCCTCAGTTAGAGTCCATGCTTCCATTCTATACAGCAGGACAGGAAAGATGTAGCAAGATGTCATACGAATTCTAAGTCAATGCTAAGATCGTGACTGCAAAGTACGTTTCTCATTTTTACAAAGGCAGCTCGGCTTGTTCTATTCGGCTTTTAATTTCTGCGGTTGGATCCCAGCTCTCATTGATATACTGCCAAGATACACGAGTTTCTCTACTCTGTCCAGTGTGGCATCTCCGACTTTTATACTGTCATCTTGTATATAATTTTGTTTGCTAACTATCATATATTTAGTTTTCTTAACGTTGAGTTTTAATCCATATTGATCACAAGTCTGTTTTATTTTGTTCATTAGATTTTAAAGGTCTTCTCCGCAATTGGCAAGGACTAAGGTATCGTCGGCATATCTAATATTGTTGACGGATCATCCGTCCATTCACTCCACGTCCACTCCATTCACAATAATACCTTCGGTTGTCTCCATTAAGGCTTCCTTAAATATTTCCTCCGAATATAAGTTAAAAAGTAAAAGCGACAATATACAGCCTTGTCTCACTCCTCTTTTTATATTTATTTCATCCGACAGTTCTTGTTCAACCTTTATTCTTGCCACTTGATGCCAGTATAGGTTTGTAATTATTTGTAGATCTTTATCGTCCAATCCAGCTGTTTCCAATATTTCTAGCATTTTGTTATGTCGGACTTTTCAAAAGCTTTTTCAAAATCGATTGCACAAATGTACACATTTTGATTTATATCTCTGCATCTCTGTACTAGCACCTGTATACTAAACAAGGCTTCTCTTGTACCCAAGCCACTCCTAAACCCAAATTGAGTATTGCTAATTCTGTCCTCTAACAGCATGTAACTTCTGCTGTGTATTACCTGGTATTACTCGCAGGAAGATCTTCAAAACGTGACTCATCAGACTTATTGTCCGATAATCACCGCATGTCTTTGGACGATGTTTCTTAGGTATTGTGACAAATGTCGACTTTAACCAATCAGTTGTTAATATCCCAGTGTCATAAAGTCTGTTAAAAGGTTACACAGAGCTTTAATTTCATTTTCTCCCAAAAACTTTAGTATTTCAGCACTTACTTCATCGGGGCCAAGTGCTTTTCCATTGTTTGCCGTTTGTATTGAACGTCTTACCTCACTTTCTGTTATAGATGGACCTGATATAGCAATCGGTGTATAGTGTTCTACCCTCTCATCCTTAAATAATTCAGAAATATAGTTTTCCCATTTTTTTAACTTTTCATTGATGTCTAATATTCTGTGTCCGTTTCTGTCTTCTAAACTTTGGGATACTTGTTTCCGTTTGTTTCCAGCGAGCTCTTTTAATTTCTTGTGCAGATGAAATGTATCGTGTTTCTTTTCATATTGTTCAATTTCATTACATTCTTTACTATGAAATTGTGTTTTCGCGTGTCTTATCTTCTGCCTGATTATTGCGTGGATCCTCTTGTATTCGTTTTTATCTTTATTTCTGACTTCTCTTCTTTGATCCATAAGTCTCAGTATTTCTTTTGTCATCCACCCTTGTTTTTTCTTGCTTTTAGCGCACTCAATTTTGTTTCTTGAACAGTCTTTAAGATGTCTATAATTCTCGTCCAGTTTTCCTAAGTACTTTCTTCTTTGCTTGATGTTAACTTTATTTTTTGTTCTAATATACTAGTTATTTCTTGTTTTACAGTATCATTTAGCATCGTTTCCCTATCAATAGTAACTGTTTGCTTATTCGTCCTAGATTTTCTTATAAAAGTAATTTGTACTGATTTGTTGGTATTATGATTGATCTTCCATCACCTAAGCCAGTTTTGTAATCGGTCTAAATGATAACGGGACATTTCGGAATATTTCGATGTCGTCTAGAACTTTCTAACTTTGATAATATTCATGGCAAGGCTAAGTACTAAATTAAATTAAATTAAATTTTTAAATATGGATTCTATAAACAACTCAGCATTTGAAAAGTAATGTATTACATTAGACTTACTTAACAATAGAGTGAAACACAACTTAAATTAAAATTAAAATAAAATCGTACCTTAAAATTATGGTCTAAATTCTCCCCAACCTAAAAAGGAGTAAATCATCGCAATTATCACGTCCAAAGGAACACCCATCTTCTTCAGCTCAACCAGAACTGTGTGAACCTGTGGAATCTGAAGCGCATCATCAAATTTTAACTTTATTTCAGGACTCTTCAGTTGCATTATTAGTTGGAATATATTCGGGATGTTTAGTATCTGGTTGAATAGTAGTTTCAGAAAGTAACCAGGGGGAATAGCATCTCCGGCTTCTAATAAGAAAGAAGTTAAATTTCTGGGAGTATCTTTGACTAGGTTTGTTACGGTAACGTTTTGTAAATATGTGTCTACGTGCTTAACCATGGTATCTATTGAAACACCGAATTTTTTTATATAGTCTTTCAGTGTCACCCATTCTGGTTTCTTACTGATAGTTTCTGTCAGGTTTCTCCACTCTTGACTTTTCAAGTAATTAACAGCGGCTTTGAATTCTTCATCATTTTGTAGATGTTTATTAGCGATTTCAATAACTTTCTCTTTGGGAAACTCGTCTGAAATGACAACAAGTGATTCTAAAGAATATGGGTTATTTCTTTGATTTTCATTTTCCGAAGATAGTCCTACCATAAACAACAAACAGCAGCATATAACGAAACGACACTTCATATTTAATAACTGCTATGAATTTAAAATTTCACAAACGTGAAACGTTTCTTTCAAACCTAAACACTAAATTATAGTATCTATGCGAGTTAAAAAGATTTTAATAATGTTAACAATACACGGTAAAAAAATATTGTAATGATCATAAACGCCTACGTTCATTGTTACGGTGATCGATTCATTATTTTATTATGTTTTACAAAATTACTTTTATTGTTTTTGATATTTGATTTGTAAGCTAAATTGCTTTTATTTGGTCACACCTAATATATTTTATGTAAATTTATTTTGATACTATGAATGTAGATGAAAAATACAAAATAAAACATTTTTAAAACGTTTTAGTTTTAGAAATTTATCGAAACAACCGTGTTCTGCTAATTATAACATTGTAGACAACAGAGTTATAAGTTATAATCGTTATAATCGACAATGAAATGAAAAATCTTCGTCTAACCCTATAAAAACCTACGCAACATGTTACAGAGATCGTCATCTGTTACAAAGATAGTAGTAGTTTCTATGGATAGGTGGCGATAGGGTTTTCGGCAATACGAAAATTTCTATGTACCGGTGGGCAGTTGGGCATGCTCCCTCAGGGCCACTCTTTTACTGGTGGGGGGAGGGGGACGTAAGAATATAAAAAACCCCAGCAACATTGACTAATTTACTAAAATCAAAGTAAAACAACATTCTGACAAAATAAAAAATAAAATAAACATGAACACTTAAAAAAAAGTACAATTATAAAGAGTACTAAATACTAAATTATCAACAATAAAAAACGCTCTGTTTTACTCTTTGCTTGTTTCTTCCATATAAAATATCGATGGCTTAAAGTATAAACCAGCTAACTCCAATAGTGTAAACAGGAGACAATAAAAACTGGTTGGAGAGTGCACAGTGACATTCAGAGATTTCATAAATATAAATAATAATAATGTTACACTTAAAAACTTGTACTATAATAAAATTATACCATATTTTTTATAACAGAGAGAATATGTGTATTAAGAATAAGAGGAAAATACCAAAAAATAACATTTATAAATATACAGGCACCGACTGAAGACAAAAGTATAGAAATAAAGGAAGGCTTTTATAATCAAATAGATACAGAATTCGGAAATATCCCCAAATACGATGTAAAAATAGTGCTAGGTGATAGTAATGCAAAAATGGGAAAAGAAGAAATATATGTACCCACCATAGGAAAATACAACTTGCATGAAATAACGAACGAAAATGGTCACTTCCTAATTGATTTCGTGTAAGAAAGAAATATGATCATTATGAGCACGTACTTCCAACACAAAAGAATACACCAAGGAACGTGGAGATCACCGGATGGAAAAACCATAAACCAAATTGATCATGTGCTTGTTGAAAAAGATATGCAAAAATGTATAAAGAACATAAGAGCATACAGAGGTCCAGATGCAGACTCAGATCACTTTATAGTTGGAATACAAATGAAACAACTTATTCCAGTGCTTAGAAATCAGCAGAAGAAAAAGTATAATGCAACCAAACCTATGAGACACTGACAGAAGAGGAACAAAATAAATATGAAAGAATAGTCAGTAGAGGATTATATAATATTACAGAAAGTGGGGATATTGAACAAACATGGTTGCAAATAAAAGTATGTATGACCAAAGCAGCTCAGGCCAGTAATAGAAATATAAAACACGAATACAAAGAATGGTTCGACGATGAATATAAAATGTTACTAGATGAACGAAATAAATTAAGAATGAAAATGATGCAAGAAAAAAGAACAGAGATAGAGAGAAAATACAATAAACAAAGGAAAAGAGCCAAAAGAATAATAAGATCAAAGAAAAGAAAATACAATGAAGATAAATTAAAGTGTATAGAACAGAACTATAAAAATAGAGAAATTAGAAACTTATATCAAGGGGTGAAAAATGAGAAAAAGGGATACCAAGGAAAACCTGTACACTACAAAAACAAAAGTAGAAGAAATTGAGTAAGTGACGAAGAAATATTGGGCAGATGGAAAGAATACTTTGAATAACTTTTAAACGAAATTCCCTCAACAGAATATGAAACAAGCGTTTGATAGCATAAAACGCACAGAAATATACAAAGCACTACGTGAAATGGGAATTAGTGAAAAACTGATAAAAATGGTAAAAGTGACACTACGAAGAACAGAGAATAGGGTTAAAATAAATGGCGAAGAAACAGATAAGTTTGAAGTCAGTGAGGGGTGCGACAAGGAGACCCACTGTCATCGCTGTTGTTCAGTCTCGTCCTCGATGTTACCATCAGAGAAGCTGGAATCAACCGGTCAAGACTAATATATCAAAGAAAACACCAATGCTTAGCATTCGCTGACGACATTGTACTGATAGCCAGAAGTAAGTAAGAATTAAAAGAAATAACAAAAGGATTAGAAACTAAAGCGGGAAAGAAAGGGATGTACATAAATGAAGAAAAGACCAAATATATGGAATGGACAGAAAGAGATTACCTACAAGAACAATATCTGACAGTAATAACAGATGAAAAAACATATAAATTCGAAAAAGTAGAAATATTTCAGTATTTAGGAGCGACATTCACGAGAAGACCAAATATGAAGGAAAAAATCCAAGCGAGAATTATGACCGGTAACCGTTGTATTTTTGCACTAAACAATTTGTTAAGAAGTAAAAACATATCTAGAAGGGCTAAGATAAGAATATATAAGACAGTAATAAGACCTATATATTGTATTATATGCCAGCGAAACATGAACAATGAACAAATCCGAGCAAGTCCTGCTGCAAGTCTGGAAAGAAAAGTCCTCAGGAAAATATTTGGAGGTAAATTATGGAATGGTATATGGATAAAAAGACCAAATATGGAATTAGAGGAGATGTATGAAGAACCGAATATCGTAGGGATCATAAAGTCACAAAGACTGAGATGGTTGGGACACATCTGAAAGGTGGGAAACACAAAAAGAATGGTAATGGGAGGAATAGGAGGGAAAAGGAAGAAATAGAAAAACTTAAAATACCAAACTGGAAAAATAAAGCAACAAGCAGAAAAGAATGGAAAATAATAGTAAACCAAGCCATGGGCCTTCTAGGCCTGGAGAGCTAAATTATATATATATTATATATATATATATATATATATATATATATATATAATATATATATATATATATATAATTATAAAATAGAAATAAACTAGATAAAATAGAAATAAAATAGAAACTAGAATATAAACTAGAAACTGGTGAAACAAAACAGTTTTTTCTAAAATCTAATGCATAAAACTAATAATTTCCAAAGAGAAATATTGATTAATTTTCAAATGGAATTTTATCATAGTACTCGTAATAATCCGAAGGAATTACTTTTTTTAATTCTTGTAAATCCTAGAACTTCTTCTTTTTTATTTTACGTCGGGTTGCATATAAGCCTGGCAGTTCATTTCAAAGTTTTGTCGTAACTTTATTATCTTTTCTTTGTGGCAATATGCTCCAATTACCCCCGAATCTTAATTTATAGTAAATATTTTCATCAGGATTATATTACAGGGCACGCAAATCTGTAACCTAAAAAGAAAATTTGTTATATCAAAAACAACAAGAGCCAAAATAAAAAACACTTACACAGTGGTGTGTACAAACTTAGATGTGGCGACTGCCCAAAAACTTACATCGGTCAAACTGGTAGAAACTTTAACAAACGAATAGCAGAACATAAAAGGGCTTTTAATAATAGAAAAACAGATTCTACATACGCACTTCACCTTCTTGATCACAATCATTCTTTTAACGATGAATTTAAAATTCTTCACATTCAAAATAAAGGCCTTAAGCTATCCTTGTTAGAATCTATGGAAATCAACAAATTAAAAAACACAGATATAACTCTGAATGACCAACTTGAGACAAACAGTTCTCCCCTCCTCAACCTATTTCATTAGAGACAATAAAGTGTAAACGCATGCCAAAAATAGATCACTCGAGAAAGGCAATCAGCCGAAACAGCTGTAGTGATAAGAGTTAAAATAAATTTTTGTGGAAGTTTGGAAACAAAGTTTTCAGTGTTTTATTGTTACATAAAATAAATTTTTATCAAGTAACGGTCGAATCCACCAATTAATACTTAGAATGTCACCAAGCCCTGACAAGGGCTCAATGAATGATAAAGAGAACTGCAAGTTTCTCGTAAAATATTGATGCTTGCGAGTGCAAAAACATACAGATATGCTGAGCGATAAGAAGTAGTCACTTCAACAAAGCAAAATATGATGATCTGCCGAGTTTATGTTAAAGCCAGTGCGTTCCTTTAACTTACCATGAGTATCACGAAAATCTCCCAGTTCATAGGAAAAATACAATTAACCAAGACCGATATTGATATGGAAGACTAAACAACGAAAATAAATGTGTTCATTTTTAAATTTAATTTCAATTTCTGTTTATTTTGTAATAATACTTGCATTTTAAAAACGATACTGTTAATACTTTAACCTAAGTGCAGTCAGAAGATTATTCAATGAAACATATTCATATTCAAAACGCTTTATTCTAATCAAAAATATAGACCTAATTTTAAAAGAGGGGTTCAACATTTATATAATTAGTTATTTATACTGAAAAAATAGCACATGAATATATCACTGAAAAAGTTGGTATCTTTTTTACCATTTCTGAAAATTATTTTAAAAGCAGTTGCTAAGTTATTTTTGCAGGGGTTGATATGATGTAAACATGTGTAGAAAATTCAAGAAAGAGTATTCATAAGAATGGACAAAACAGCGAACCAACATATAAGAAGAAAAAAGTTATCATAGTTTTAATAATACAATAAAAATTAAAATATAATAAAGATAAAATGGCGTTAAGAGATCAATTACTTACATAATTGATACATACATTTACATACTATGATGTTCCCAAAATAATTTTTGTGTATATTTTTATGACACAGTTTTTGTTCCACATGGCGCGCTCCAATATTTAGAGAGAATCG